TACAAAAAGAGCTAGTTGCCAAGAACAAGTTGTAATTACCCACTGATACCCAGGGGTAGCTCTCTAACTCAATTAGCCTTAGTGGAGTTTGGCTGGATTTGCATTAATAAAGCAAAGAGCAGGGGTTAGTCCCAAAAATCTCTCAGAACAGCTAAAGTAATGTAGAAATACATGATAGTAACAAAGAAGATAAAATACTACACCCCAAAGATCTAGTTGAGATTGCAACTCAAACTTCCTCAGCTCAGTCTGCAGTGGGTTTTAAGACTTACATGCAGACTGTGAAAAGCCTGATGGGATTATTTTCCAAGAAAAGGAAAAAATCTGGTCTGAAAGATTTAAGGGAATTTGGCACAGCCAGCTTCAATTTGCTTTCATTAACAGCATTACTTGTCTCTGCTACAGCACAGAAAAGAATTTTTAAACTCTTCTCTTAGATGCTCATAAAGTAACTTTAGAATCACAGATTTTCATGGAGTAAGGCAGAGATCTTATTAGGTGAAACAAGAGCAGTTCATTTTTCCAACACATGGAAGGGACACAATATGCTGCAGAGACTAAATTTAATCTGCTTAAGAATAGTAGTTAACAAGTTAATCCAGGTGCTATTTATTAAACATGATAGAGCAGATGCTTACCAAGTCCTTAAATATCAATTCCCGGAAGCTAAGAGCATGTAATATGAAAATCATTACTTCACTTAAACCCCTGAGTGTCCTACCTTCATTAAGAAGCCAATACTGGCCATAGTTGGTTTCTACACTGATCAAAGTGACTGGAGCTGGCCATTCCTAAGGTGCAAAGGTCAGGTTAAATTCTACCGAGAGTGCTCATCCTCTGGAATCCGCCACATGTTTTTAAATTAATGAGGTAATATATCCCATCCTTTTCCTTACAATGTGCTTCTTTAATACAATGTTTTCTTCAAAATAAAATCCAATTAGAGCAAAGGGGTTCTCTAAATATGAAAAACTGAGTGCCTGTATGACACAGAACAGAGGGAGCAGTGGGAATATGGTTTTCTTTTCCTCTAGGACTTACTTCAAACTAGCCCACTTCCTAGCTCTGCAAAGGCAAACATCACATTTAAGGCACTCTGGCCCTCATTTTCTCCTCTGCCAACCCCAGGAGCTGCACAGTCTAAATTTGTGCTGGCTTTGAAGCAAAACCATTTCCCTCCTCCATTCCAGAGGCTGCAGACACTGTGGGAGTGCAGAAGTTCACACCCTGTTGATGTGAAACATTCCCCTCCACTGTATACCCAATACAACTACAACATGCACATCAGATATTTCTACCACCTCTCACAGAGCTCTGAGTCCTTTTGTAGTAGGAGGCGGTTGAAGTAAGACTCCAACTGCAAAACAAACATGAAACTCCAGCGATCAATAGTTTTAAGCTGTTTTAAGGTGGGAGGCCTTTGCCGAGTACCAGCCTGTCATCTAAAAAATGTTTACACACAGAAGAGAGACGGTCCAGCCTGAGCAGCAGTCAGCTCCGCTTTGTACTTCCCTTGTCTAATAGCCTACATAAGGACGGGCATATTGCTCCAAAAAAAAAAAAAAAATCAGAAAGATGTTTTTTGCCTTGAAATGTCAATCATGCAATCCCCTAGCTCTTCCAGTCAACTCCCAGTTGTTCCAAACCCTTACAGGAAAAGCAGAGTTCGTTTGTTTGGGGGTTTTTTTGCATTCTTTTAAATAAGCAGGGCTGAATCACTGCGGCTGCTCCAGGTAGAGTGAAACAAATAAAGGAATAAGCAATCGGGTGCTTAGAATTCTGCCAGATACTTCACTGCAAAGACTGACACAAGCTTGTTTCAATGCACATTGTTACCGAGAACATTTTTCAGTCCCTGCTTTAACAGATGACAACTAGTTTAAGAGAAAACAAGCTGAAAAGCTATTACAGACTTCTGCTGGTTTTAATTACACTACTCCATGCTCTACAAAAAGCACAGAGGAAATATAGAAATACTTGAATCTTTGTCTCGAGCCGCTCGCAGAAGGATAATGACATGCTACTTTGTGCCCTGTTAGCGGCCTAGGAATAATGAAGGCAATAAAATAATGAAATCAATGAAAGACAGGGCTGAGAGCAAGGAGTACAGTGACAACAGTGGAATTCTGTGGAAATGGAATTCTGTGCTGCTTTGAAAGTGGACATATTGCTGACAATGTATTAAATATGGAAAATATGATAACTGCAACTGAAATTTTTCTTCTGTGAACATCTAATATTGCTTAGTGGTGTCATCCTTTCACCCTAATCTTCTGTCTGAAGACAAATGGGAAACCAAAATCTTGGATCTCAAGCACTTACGGGCCTTACATTTAGCTCAAACTCTGCTGGAAAATTCCACGTTACCTCTCTGTTCATGCTAATGGATGTTGTATCTGGGTGCATAGACACATATAAATGGAAGCACCATAGAATTACACAAGAGAAGGAAAATCACTTTTTATTAGAGAAGCACAGCTTGAAAGCCTGCTATAATGGAAGAATTAATATAAATATACTCTCGAGTGAAATACTGATTTTTTTCGCAAGCATGTGATGTTTTTCGAAAAAGTGGTATAATATGTGTAGGCTATAAATATAAGCTATTTAGAAATAAGTCAAATGCAGCTTACCATGTACTAAAACAAAATTCAAATACACACTTATGCATAGTCAGCATTTCATTAAGTGCTACACTGAGCTTTGTTTTCTCAAATATTTCAGTGAAGTTCTTAAACATGAATTTACTTTAAGTGAACAGTTTAGAACAGTGAACTACAGGCAACTTCTTCAATTTATTTGCAATAGCTTTGACAGAAGTCACAATAAGCACATACTTTTGGAAGTTTATTTGCATCATATTTAAGGAAAGTTATCCAAACCGAAGTCAAAAAGCTAAAATAAATAAGTGAGAGAAACTATGGAAAGGCAAAAGACCTCTTTTTCCTAGACAAATGTTCCATCAGCAGGAGTCCCATTATTTGTTATAACAATCTTTAACTTGTAATGACTCTGAAGAAGACTAATAACAGACTGGTGGGAACAGATGGAGTGGTGCTGTTAATTATAGGCACTTAGCTGCATCAGACCCCATGAGTTATTACTAACATTTCCCGCTAGGGAGGAGAATCACTCGCTTTTAAGTAGTATGTCGCTTACTAAGCTGGGAGCATTAGCAGTCAGGACTGTACTAATCAGTACTAACAACATAAAACAATACTCAGCTGCAAACAAAAAAATATTAAAATATTCCCTGAATAACCCCCACACTATTTCATTTATTTTTATTTTTGCAATCACTTCTAAATATAAAAGTTCTTCTGCAAAGGTTTAAACTCAGGTCTCACTAAACCTCCCTACTACTCAGATGAAGTTTTCCAAGCATCTGACTTGAAGAAGAGAACATTAAGTAAAATCACCCCAGAACATATGATAGAAGGTACACACACCTCCTGAACTGGGTTAAGAATCTGCAGAGTAATTCATCACAGAAACAGATTATTCAAGTCTTAAACAGGATATCATTCCAGAGCACCTGCACAGCCCTCTTCCAGTTATACAACCCAAAAAATCGCTTCTAGGCCTTCCGAGTTTCCTGTTGCATCCCTACCACCAAACAGGAAACCATCTTTCCTGTGCTTATCAATGGTGTCTGGAGGTTATTAAATCCATCTGCTTGCTTCAGCATAAACAGCATTTGCACACATTATATATTCAACAAGAAGCTACTCCTATTTTTAAGAATCACAGTACAAAAGTGACACAATGTTTTCCTTTTGCAAATGTTTTTAAGGCCATGAGCTGCAGCTGTTACAGAAAACACTTCTGAGGGGACGCTAATTTAACAGACCCGTAAAAAAACCAAAAACCATGGAACTAGCCCATCGACTATCTGAAAGTCAGACAAACCCTCTGAAAGAGAGTCCGATGCTCAAAGAGTCTGATCTGAAAAACTACTATGTATCTTTTAAAGCTTTAAGCAGTGCCTCCATAAACATTTGTGACTGGAAAATTTAGACCATTGAAGAATCCTTATATTCTGAGTTTAATCACACAGTAGAAAACTTGAATGAAATTTATCTGTGAGTTTCTCATGGATAATTAACTTATTTGCAGTGTACTTACTAGCTAAAGGACTTCACCATAAAGGTCAAGATGGCTTTTACAACTACTGTGAAAGCAGATACTGAGAAATACATTAGAAAGGATGAATGAAAAGCAAAATTTGGAGTCTAAATCCGCAGAACAGCTGTAGAAGAAAACCCCACACTATAAAAACTAATTATAGATTGCTCAAAAGATGACATCAAAACCTTGCATACTAAGAGGACACTATGGGAGCGATCTTTCCTTGGAGGTTACCATCTTAGTTGAAGAGCACTGCAGTCTGCAGGGCTCATGTGTACAGAAACAGGTATCAAACATTACAGACACATTTGATCTGCCTGAGCCGGTGATTGCATAAAACCTGATGATTTTCTCAACAGATACAGAACTTCAGTGGAAACTACAAACGGGGTGATGATCAGCTGACAGCCTAACTTTGTTACAGAGTTATAACTTTTAACAGATCTCCACTTAGAGGTAAATAGGCAATACCTTACCTTCCCACAGGCCTTGACATACACAGCAAGCAAGCAAAAGTTTCCTATCAATTTCATTGGAAGCTACTTATAAGAAACCCAAGAAATGAATAAATTCCTTCCTTCCCTCCCAGGATATTTTCCAAAATCTTAATCTAGCAATGAACAAATTTGCTTCTGTCTGATACTTCGGGTATGACCTACTCAGCACATTTAATAATGAAATGCACATGTTTGCCAGGGAAGGAGTAATTGTATTTAATTAAGTCTCTTGTCATACAGGAGGTTAAAAAAATAAAAGGCTCACATTTTACGTTAAGCTAGTATTGATATTAAGGCAGTTGAAAATTTTCTCTGGAATCACACCTATGATTTCTGATTAAAAAGCCTGAAGAATTCCATGTATTTAATACTTACATTCAAATCTGAGGACCCAACATCCAGTCAGAACAGCCATCATACATTTGGAAGTACTTGGCATCGGAAGACCAGGGACAACAAGATGAGTTACTAGGAGAAAGATTACATCAGTAGAACTAAAAGCACATAAAAATCAGAACCATGCCTGGCTGAAAAGCAATCAATCACCATTTAAAGGATAAACAGACTATAAGAATTTAGGAACCACTCTTTC